ATCTGTGCCACGAGCTCCAGTCATGGTGTTTCCTGCTGGGCACATTCATTTAGCTCTTCCTTTTGTCAGAGCTTGTCCCCAAGTCCATCACACTGTCATCCCTGTGACCCAGGCTGGTCTGCCTGTGGGTTCTAGTCCCACAGCTCTGGCTTCTCACGGACTCAGGTCTGTTCTGTGGCTTCTGAAATAAAAAAAATGAGCCCCTGTACCTCACATATAAACTCTTTTTGTTCAAATTGAAAACTATGGGTTCCATTATTTGTTCCAGAAATCACTCAGGGGGATAATTACAGAGAACAAGTATTCTGAGACTTTCATTATGTTGAACTGAGAGCCACTTTCTAAATCTTCCTCTTGATTTTACCCCACAGTAGAGAAAACAACATGTACCTTCCACCCTTGTATGACAGTATATGAACTACCTTTGCATCCCCAGTCATGGGGAAAAACATTTGCCTGTGTATTTAAGTCCTTTCCCCAACGTGGGCCCTAGCTCATCACTTAATTGTGTGGTTCAAAATCTGGCTTGTGGGCTTCTTACAAAATACTCAAATTTCTCCCTAAAATGGTGTCAGGATATTGGGCATGATGTCCAAGTTAGCACCTTTTAAACTTTATACATATATTTTTATCTTTCAAAACAGTTGAAATATAGAATTTATTAGTTCCATTTCTAAAGCACAGTGATTAAACATTTATATAGCTTGTTAATTAATCTCCCTGATAAATCTAGTACACATCTCACACCATATGTAATTATGACAACATTATTGACTATGTTCTCTAAATTGTACTTCACACCCTAAAATAAATGTCCAGGGCTGACACAGGACAGCCATTATATTTTCACTGACTTGGGTGGAAGGTATGAGAGGGGGTAAGCAGGGTGAGTGGAGAAGTGGTGAAGAGCACAGCAGGACAACCTCAGAATATCTCCCTGTAAATTGCTAATGAATGACAAACACCAAATGGTGAATCTGTGATGGGGAAACATGGCCAACACCAGACTAGGGAGTCACCAGGATGAAGGTCCCCACTGTCAGGACAGGTGGGTGCAGTGTCCAGTCCTTGTTCTGTCCTCTTCCACAGTCCTGGCTCCCTTGGTGGCCTCATCCATGCTCACAGATTTAATGTCATTTTCATAGCATCACCTCCACATCTATGTCTTCAGCCCAGACATGTCTCCTCAAGGTCCCCACAGTCGTCTGTCTAACCTGACACCTCACTGGTGTGTCTAACACACATCTCACCTTGACCTTCTCTTCAGCTGAATGGTTGAAATTCATGCCCTTCCCCTACACATGCTCCTGCCAGAGTCTTCCCCCTCTCTGCTGATATAACCCCATCTTTCTGCTGGCACAGTGCACATGTGGGGTGCCTTCCTTGAATCCTTTCCCACACCCCAGATTGAATACTTAGGAAATGCTGTGAAATCCATCTTCCCAATGCATTCAGCGTCCAGTCCCTTCCCACTGTTTCCACCACTCACAGCCCCGTCAGAACACCCAGCACCTGCAGCCTGGAACCATGGGAGCTTCCCCACACCTTTCCCTCCTGCCTTGCTGGTCCCTTGTCTCCTGATCCTGTTCTCAGCTCAGCAGCCAGACTGACCCTGTGGCCCAAGGGCTCTCTGTTGGGGAGGAACTCTCAGAGGAAGCCACTAAGGACATTGGCTCATTGGCCATGACCTTCCCGGACTCAGCATCCACAGAATGAGAGCAGTGTCTGCAGTGGATTAAGGACAGTGGACACTGGAACAGTTCCTGCTTTATCAGGTGTTCCTGACAAAATCAGATGTTCTTCATTTTTGGATTGGTCAGCTCACTGCACCCCACATGGACACCCATGAGGACTATAAGAGTGTGTCCTGCAAGCTTGGGGTGACTCCTAGGCAACAAAGCCACAATTGGTTAGCATCAGGGGACTAAACCATCAAAGGCAGAAGCTCCAAAAGGTACATTTGGATGTGTGGGAAGAAACCCTGAATAGTGCATGGAGCACAAGTGGTCACAGGGAACATCACCGGGGAGCTGTGAGGTCCCCTTGTCCTGTGGCACACAGTCTGTCCCTCCTGCGTTGTCTGCATACCTCATGGTAAGTTGATGAACTTAAAGTGACTAGCACAGGTTAACAAACAGGGTGAAGGTGTAGATAGAATAACTACTAGTGGAAACCATACAACTTGGCATTTTTAATCTAAATCACTTCTGTTTAGTTTATGTATATAAATATATAGCCAATTTTAATATAATGTAGGCATGATCAGATGCTGGTTGCAGAAATAGCAGTCAAGGATCCTTAATATTCCAAAGGGAGGCTGCAGTGACTATTCAAGCAGCAGGTCCCCTAGAAAGCAGCTCTGTCACACTGGGAAAGAAGCTGTCATGAACAAATTCAGGTCAGTCTCAGAAGTGTCACATTCTCCCACAGCCCACCTCATGCTCAGAATGTCCCACCTGAGAATCCTGAAAACCCAGTGTGTCTCTCAGTCTCAAACCCCTCAATTCCTGCCCTCAGGGTCTCACCATCAGGAGCTGTGAGAGGCACATCAGAGCCCTGGGCACTGTCGCTGCCTGAGGAAGACAAAACAGCGGAGTTAGGGGTGGGGGAACCCTGTCACAGACTCCACCCTACACTCTCCCAAGCGTCCCAGATGTCACCTCCCCAACACCCAGACTTACATGGAGCCTTAGTGTAGCTCTCTCTATCTCTGCCTGTGGGAAGAAAATGTTCTGTGAGAAGTTAGGGGGAACACTGGGTCCCATCACCCTAACAGAGCCCCATACTCTGAAGCACAGGGAAGGCTCCAGAACTGTGACTAAACACTCATGTTAGAATCCAGAAACACAGGGAAAGTACATGTGTGGGGACTGGACCTACCACCCATCTGGACATCTGTCCTCAGCAGGGACCTTTCCCTCTGACCTGTGACAGCTGGGAATGAGTCCCCATCACTAAATCATCAGGTGATAAATGTGTCCCTCACTTTCCCATGGGCCTCACTAAAGAGTCAGTGTTAGCAAATAGGCCCCAGATAAACAAGCACCCAAGTGGGGACACGATGCCCATTAAGAAGGCAGAGCACACTTCCACCTGGGCTTGACCCACAGGGGGACAGGAAACTCAGCCCCACCCCTTGCCCACCTGAGCACTTCCTCTTCCACAGCACAGCTCCAGCAGCTGCAGCTCCAAGGAGACCCAGGACAGCAGAGACACCCACGATGGTGATGGTGGTCTGAGGAGGGGGCTCTGCGAGGGGAAGGTGAGAGGTCAACCTCAGGCCTGAGTCCTGACTCTGCTCAGGGACACCCTGAGGAGAGGCTCTGTGCCCATGCCCCCTCCTCACCCCATCTCAGGGTCAGGGGCTCAGGCAGCCCCTGGTGCTACACATGGCACATGTATCTCTGCTCCTCTCCAGGGGGCACAGCCACAGCTGCCCACTTCTGGAAGGTCCCATCCCCAGCAGGCCTGGTCTCCACCAGCTCCATGTCCTGGGTCAGGTCTTCCCATCACGCTGCCAGGTCAGGGAGATGTCAGCAGGGTAGAAGCCCAGGGCCCAGCACCTCAGGGTGACCTCATGGTCAGAAATGGGGTGGTGGGTCATGTGTGTCTTTGGAGGGTCTGAGGGGAGGGTGAAAAAAATCAGCAACTTTGCATTGGTCATGGGACACTCTAGTAGTGCTCATGTGACCACCCTGAGAGTGGACAGGACAGTGGAGGTGGGGGAAGGGAGAGCAACACCCAGACAGCAGCTTGGCAGAGCCATCTGGGTTAATCTTCTATTTCTTGGAAAGTTCCAGAATCAGTGCAAGAACCTGGGGTAGGAGTGATCGGGTCTCTAAGGGGAGACACAGACTCAGGTGGAGGCTAAATGACTGAAAAAAGCAGGAGTCAGGCCTCCAGAGAAGGTCTCAGTGGAGAACCAGGGAGAGTACCTTGGTACACCAGGTGCTGCAGAATGTGAGGGAACCACTGTGGGGTGTTCCAGGGAGAGGCTGGGACCCTTACTGTTTTTTCGAGAAAGCTGGGCCCACGGTTGAGCCACTGAATGAAGAGACCTGGGGAACTCTTCCCTCTCCTGAGCAGGAGGTGGATTCTGACACTGCCCAGTTTCCCTTCTCTCTTTGTAGGAAGCCGCCCCAGCCCACTGATCCTCTCCTCGGGGAGGCCCACACCCTGGTACCTGTTCAGAGCATTGTCTCCTTTCTGTTTTCCAGGAACAGGCAGAGCCAGCGCAGGCAGATGTCCCCTAGGACTGCCCGCTGTCACTCTGCTGCAGGGAGCTCCGCCAACTTGCACCAGGTGATCCGGGCCGCAGTGTCGATTGCGGTCCAGGAGTCCGGGTCCTTGTTCAGGGCGATGAAGTCGGTGCCGTCGTAGGCGAGCACGTACCCACGGAGGAAGCGCCCGTCTGAGCTCACGACGCAGCCCCTCATTTCCTGGAAGGTGTGAGCCCCTGACCCCGCCCCGGCGTCAGGTTCCTCCACTTATTCCCACCCCGACAAGGAGTCTGACTGGGGCCAGACTAGTGAGGGACCGCACTAGTGAGTACCCCACTCGCGGTGTTGAACCCAAACTGAGAATTCAAACCGGTTAAAGTCCCCTTGAATTCCTTCTGGGTTGGATGTCGCGCGCACCCCGCAGCCACTGAGTGACGCCCGGGCGACCCCGGCCTTTCCGTGGGGATGAGGGTCGGTGTGTATTTGCGCGCACGTGGCTCACTGTCCTCGCTCTGGTTGTAGTAGGCGCGCAGGTTGTTCAGGTTCCCTCCATACATCTTCTCGTAGTTTTTGGTGTCCCGTGTGTAGTCGTCCCAAAATTGTGGATGCTCCTGCTCCACCCACGGCTGCTCCATCCACGGCACCCGCGGCTCCAGCCTCTGCCTCGCGGCGTCGCTGTTGAACCGCACGATCTCCGTGTGGTCCACGTAGCCCACGACTTGGAACTGAGACTTCCCGCGGCCGGGTCTGGACACGGAACTGGTGAAAATTTTCACCAGAGGGAGAAGTGAAACCTGGAGGAGAAGGGGAGCCCTCAAATCTGTGAGTACCCCCCTCACCCCATCTTGGTCCTCTAGGTCTCACGCTAAGACCTTGCAGTTAGGTCTGGGGACCCGGGACTTTGCGCTGAGCCCCCTCCTACACGGAGAAGTCTCTGTCCCTCTGTCTCCCTGAGTCCCGGCCCACACATGTTTTAGTCATGGCGTCTCACACATTTTGGTTTCAGAACATCTATACTGCCTTACAAAATAGGGAGGGCGGCCAGAATAATTGTGTTTGTGGGCGTTGTAGCTATCAGTATTACCATAAGGAAAAAACAGTTTGAACAAAATTATTTAGAATAACTTCAACAACCTATGACATGTTAACAGAAATATTTTTATAAAAAATAACTATTCCCCAAATAAAAAGTAGTGAGAAGAGTGGGTCTGCTTACATGTTACATTTTTGCAAGTCTCAGAGCTTGTCTGTATCACCAGAAGACCGCTGGATTTTCATATTTGCTGCTGTGTTTCATTTACTATTTTGGTTTGTGTATATGAAAGATACACAGCTTCATACAAATATGTAGGAGGACCGTTTAAATAACCTTCACAGATAGTGTGGATAGTCATCTTGGATCATACACTAAAGCCACACAAGTGGTAGTTTCTGAAAAACTCTTTGCAGAGTAGAACCTGAAACAAATCCATTGAGTGTTTCCTATTCTGTTACATTACTTCAGTGGCTCTTGTACTGATGCAGGATTATTTGAAAGTAATGCCTTGTTTCAGTAAGTGATAGAGATCTCCCAGTGTTGGTGCATTTAATGACACATCATCAAAAATCACGTTTGTTAACATTACCACAGATTGCTGTGGAAACAGTTATCAGCTCTGGAAAGCTGTCTGGCTGCCGTGGGGAGACACACGTTTGCCAGAATCCTGGTTTTCCCCTGAGAGCTTCCATTCCATCCAGACAACAAGTGCTGTCAGGTGTCAACTGCCCATTGACTCTCCTTGAAGGAGAAGCTCACGTTCATTTGAGAGAGTGTTCGCCAGTTCACCACACTTCAGTCATCACAGCTTCTGTGTCTCTCATTCTCTTAAGTGAACTTGCTGTTCTGTGAAGAAGAGGCTGACTCAGCCCTCACAGGTCACTTTCCTGGGCTCATGGTACTTGGGAATGAATGTAGCAGAAGTGTGTTTGTGCACTTTCCTGGTCATAATAGGAGATAGTTTATTTTTGTTCTCCATTTTCATTAAGTTAAGAAATTAATCCATTTGTGTAATTAATTTTGTATATATCTTCTCTTTAATATTTTTATTTTAAATTACAATTGGTCTACAATATTATATTACTTTCTCAAGTGCAACTCTGCAATTAGACACTTATATAACTAATAAAGTGATACCACCAATAAATCCAGTACCCACCTGACACCATATGTAGTTATTACAATATTATTGACTGTATTCCCTGTGCTGCAGTTTACTTCCTGCTGACTGTTCTGTAACGACCAGTGTGTCCTTCTGAATCCCTTCTCCTTTCTCACCCAGTCCCCCAACCCCTCTCCCATCTGACAACTGTCACTCTGTTCCCTGTATCTATGAGTCCGTGTCCGTTCTGCTTGATTACCTTATTTTTTAGATTCCGCATATAAGTGCAATCATCTGGCATTTGTCCTTCTCTGTCTGACCTGTTTCACTCAGCACCATACCCTCCACCGTGTTGTTGCCAATGGAGAGATTTCATTCTTTTTGTGTGTGTGGCTGAGTCAGATTTTGCTGTGCATGTGCACCACTTCTTTATCTCACCATCTGTGGATGGACACTTAGGCTGCTTCCCTGTCTGGCTTTTGTAAATAATGCTGCAATGCACATAGGTATGTGTGTGTTGCATCTTTTTGGTTTAGTGATTTGGATTCTTCAGATAAGTACCCAGAAGTGCAATTGCTGGATCCTTCTCTGTGTCTTGTTATGTAGCCTTTGTTTTCAAGTCTACCTGTCTGGTATAAGTATCATTACCCCAGCTTTTTTGGAGGGTTTAGTTGTTTCCGTTTTCATGAAATGTCTTTTCATCTGTTTACTTTCAGTCAGTGTGTCTTTGGATCTGAATTGAGTCTCTTGTAGGCAGCATAAGTGAGGGTCTTGTTCTCTTAACTTATTCAGCTACCACATGTCTTTTGATTGGAGCAATTAATTGATTTTCATTGAAAGTGATTTTGATAGATATGTATTTATTGCCACTTTATCGTTCATATATTATTTCTTCCTCTCCCTTCCCCTCCTCCTCCTTCACAGTTTAACATTACTTGTAATACTTGTTTGGTGGTCATAAACTTTAAGTTTTTTTTGAATGGGAAGCTCTTTATCTGAACCTCAATTCTAAATGGCAGCCTTGCTGGGTGGACAAATCTTGGTGTAGGCCCTTGCTTTTCATCACTTTGAATATTGTTTGTCAACCTCATTTGACCTGAAATGTTTTTCTTCAGAAATCAGCTGATAGTCTTGTGGGAAACTCCCTTTTAGGTAACTGCCTGCTTTCCTCTTGGTGGTTTTAGAATGCTCTCTTTTTTTTTTAATCTTTGGCATTTTGATTATGCTGTGTCTTGTGTGTGGGCCTTTTGGGGTTCTTCCTGTTTGGGACTCTGCACTTTCTGGATTTTTATATCTACTTCCTTCACCAGGTTAGGGAAATTTTCCACAATTTTTTTTTTAAATAGGGTCTCAATTGCATGCTCTTTCTTTTCTCTTTCTGACATCCCATCATATGAATGTTGTTACCCTTGAAGTTGTCCCAGAGGTTCTTATACTATCCTCATTTCTTAGCATTCTTTAATTATTTTAGTATAAAATTTTTATATTTGGAATTGGCCGGCTGAACTCAGTTTAGATGATCCCAATTTTGTTGGCAGCATCCAAAGCATCATAGTTGAGAGTCAGTCAAACAGACACCTTCTTCTCCCCATCAGGCCTGATCAGGGTGTTGACCTTGGCCACGTCAATGTCATAGAGCTTCTTCATAGCCCGTCTGATTGGTGCTTGTTGACCTTGCCCTCCACAAGGAACACAAGGGGGCTGTTGTCTTTCATATTCCTCATGGCTGAGTTGGTAGTCAGGGGGAACTTGATGATGGCATAGTGGTCCAGGCTGTTTCTCCTGGGGGATATTTAGGCTGCCTTTGGAGCCACAGTGCCTTAGGCCCCCAGAGTGGGTGATGTGCGGATCTTCCTTTTTTGTGTGGTTGTGGCCGTGGATGCCTTTTAGCACTGCTTTCTTTGCCTTCAAAGTCTTTGCCTTGGCTTCAGCTTTGGGTGGGGCAGGGGCTTCCTTCTTCACTTTGGGCTCCATCTTTGTGAAAAGGATTCTTCTTTTTTTTCTTTTTCTGTTCTGAATGGGTATTTTCTGCTTTCTTATCTTCCTAATCTTTGATGATGCTGTGCTTCATCTACCCCACTGTTGATTCCTTGTAAGGTCTTCATTTCAGTTATTTGTATTTTTTATGTATGACTGTTTTCTTTGTCCATTTTTATGTTTTCTAAACCTTTGTTGATATTTGCTCTAAGTATTTCTTCTCTCCTTAGTTCATTGATTATTTTATAATCTGAGTTTTGAATTCTGCATGTATTAGATTCTTTGTCTACATTTTACCTACTTCTTTTTGTGGAGTCTTGTCCTGTTCTTTCATTTAGACTCTCTCCTCATTTCGGTTGTCTTCCTGTGTTTGTTTCTATGTGCTAGGTAGAGCTTCTATGTCTCCTGGTCTTGGTAGAGTGTCCTAATGCAGTAGGTGTTGTGCAGGGCCCAGTGGTGCAGCCTCCCTGGTCACCCAGCCGGGGGACTCCAGGTGCACCCCCCTTGTGGGCTGTGTGAGCCCTCCTGTTGTAGCTGAGTTAGGATTACTGTTGGCAATGGGAGGGATTTTCCTCCAGGCTGATCAGCTGTGAGAACTGGCTGTGACAACTGAGTCTGCTCCTTGAGTGTATTGCTGTGGATGTAGCTGGGTGATGTTTTGTTGTTGTTTTTGGAAGTTGTCCACCAGTTGTGATAGATCTGGGGCCTCTCAGGCAGTGTAAGTCAAGGCTAGCCACCACCTGTGTCCTGCCCAGGGCCACCTGGCATGAGCTCAAAGTAACCTGTAGATGGCCACTACCTGTGCTGGGCTTGGAGGTACCTTGCAGAGGCCACACTGCAAACCAAGGCCAGTTGCCATTGGTCCTGGGCCTGGGGCCACTTAGCAGTAGAAGTGGGATATATCTCTGCCAGATGAGGCTTGCTTGAGACATTTTAGGAAAGTCCACAGCTTGAACCAAGACAGGTTGTTTGCATGGAAACTCACTGGAAAGGGCTTGAGTGGGCCTGCAAGGTGGGTGAGGCAGAGCTTCAGGGAATCACCAGGACGGGGTGGACAGTGTGAGCCAGGTAGATGGAGACTCAGATATGGTACACACCTGGCAGCTCTGTGGGGGGAGGGCTTGTCAAAGGAACAACGGCTTCTGCCAGGACTTCTGTCTGAGAGAAAGCCTCCCACACCCCCAGCTCTTGCTCTGATGCCAGACAATTCAGTTCCTCTCTATATGTCCCTCATGCTTTTTGAGTTGCTGCCCCAGTGCTAGAGCTCAGAGGGAGTGAGTCTGAGTCATATGCTGGCCCTTTAAGAGGAATGTCTGGGACTCCCCAAAACCTTTTGTCTCACCACCCTGATCCCTGTCAGTTTCACCACCGAAGTTGTGGTTATCTATCTTCCTGACACTGGAACCCTGGCCTGGGAGATGTAGTGTGAGACTGGGACACCACCCTCCTCAAGGTGGAACCTCTATAGTCCAGATAGCCTTCCTGATTTTTATCTGCCACACATGGGTGTGGGACCAGTCCCTTTAATGTCTCCATGCCTACCACCAGTATTGATGTGGCTTCTTTAATTCCCTAGTTGAGGGCTTCTGTTCAGCTATATTTCAATTGGTTCTAAAAGATGGTTGTTTGTAATATCATTGTAATTTTGATGTTGTCATGAGACAATGAGAATACTGTATTTACCTACATAGACATCTCAACTGGAGACCAAGATAGTTTGAAAATGTTGAGTTAAAGATGCTCATTTAGTAAAGATAATAATTTTCAGCCCTGGCTGGTGTGACCTAGTGGATTGAAAGGCAGCCCGTGAACCAGAAGGTCATCAGTTCAATTTTTAGGGCACATGCCTAGGTTGTGGGCCAGGTTTCCAGGTGGGCTCATGTGAGAGGCAACTGTTTTTCTCTCACACAACAATGTTTCTCTCTCTCTCTGTCTCCCTCCTTTCCCCTCTCTCCAAAAGTAAATAAATAAAATCTTAAAAATATAAAATAATTTTCGATCCTTCAACCATGTTGTTAAAGTGACACTGGTTTTGTTTTCTAGTCTGTGAGTGGGTGGTGGTGGAGAAAGCCTGCTGTAGCAGTTGGGTGTCCCAGCCTCCATTCTTGCTAAGTTTACCTCCATGTAAATGTGGGCACAGTGAAAAGGCAAAGGATGTCCTTAACCTATGAAAAGAGCTTTCATAGATCCCATGGAAGGGCCTTAGAAACTTCAAGGGTTCCACAGAGCACACTTTGAGAATGGCTGTTCTGGATAAACCAGGGGGAGGCTCCCCACCATCCTCCTCACTTCCTGGAACCCCTCTCCCTGAGGTGGGATCCCTGCCTCCCCACACTCTGCTGAAAACATTTTCCCTGGATTCTTCTAGAAGAAAGCTTACCCCCTGGAAATGAGATTTCAGAGAGTGTCCTCAGTCTGGGAAGGCAGGTGGGGGGACAGGTGTTTCCCCTTTGGAACTGGGAACAGTGTGTGTCTGAAGGCACCAGACACCCAGGAACCTGATTGTGTTTGTTATACAGCAGCTTCACATGTATTCACGTCCCAGCAGAAATCTGGTTTCATCTGTCAAGGAAATGATGTTGGTCCTTCCATTTTTCATGGGTCTAGTGCTGTGACTGGAGGCCCAGACTACATGAAGCTTGGTTCTGTCTAATAGAATGTTCTGGAACAAGGGATTGTTCTGTGTCTGCATGTCCAACACGGTAGCACTGGCTGCAGGTGGCTGTTGAGCACTTGAAGTGCAACCTGTGTGTGGAGCAGTTGAACTTTTCATTTAGAAGCTATAAGTGTCTTGTAGCTGCCATACCAGACAGTGCGTCTCTAGAATGTCATTAGTTTTCAGAACGGCCCACCAGAAGACACCATGTGACTCATAGATTGGTGTTCATTAAAAATGTCATCACACGGAAGTCCGGGTTTTCATTTGTCTGTGAAGGTTTAGATACATCCTCAAAACACAGCATGCCTAAGAAAGATTACTTACTACGCAGTTAACAAGTAGAGTGTGCAGACATTAACCAAAACATGATGTAACACATGAAGGCTGTAAATAGTCAAAAACGCTCCTCACTGGAGCTGGTCCTTGTGCACATCACCTTGGGACCCTTGGTGTCGTTTTTGTTAACCTGGCAAACATAGGCAGCCACATGTCTTTACTTCAACAAAAAATATTTATTGAACACAACATATATCAAATTCCAGTAGGACCCGTACATAATTATAAACTTGTAAAGTACGAGATGTAAACTCTGGTGTTCCACCTTAGAATTCTCCATCTGTTGCTCCTCCCAATATTTCCTCCCAGGGTGAAGTGTGTTTCCCTTCACCGTTGGAGCCTTCTCCCTTAGGTGAAAACATATATGAAGTTTTTACAATTATGGAATGAAAAATTCTCTAAGCAAGACTCAAAGGAATAAAACCATAAAGGAGAACACAAAACTCTTCTATGCCAACCACATTCTCCAGTGACACAAACTCATGACCATAACCGAATGCAGACGCATAAAAGTGTTGACAGAGGAAGGCAATGTGTGTCAGTGTTCTTCCGCCAAAGACCCGGAGGAGCGCCTGGGGCGGACAGCGGGCTGTGTGCATTGGGCCTGCAAGAGGGAGCGCACACCTGGGGGCGTGGGCAGCTTCGAGGGACCAGGAGAGACAGGGTGTGTCTAGGATGTGGGCTCTGGGATCTTGGGAGGATCTGTGGGCGCAGGGGCCCCTCTAGATTGGTGTCGTTAGGATGTGGGGGCAAGCCTGTGATTGGGCATCTCGGGAAATACCTACTGAGGCAGCAGACTGGAGCGAGGGTGAGGAGTTATAGGAAAGATGCTGCCTTCCCTTCTGTTAGCCGGCCTGGGAGCTGCTTGTTGGTGTGTGAGCCGCACTGTGTCTCATTCCTGTCTGTGCTGAGACAACACGCAGTGTGGTGTTGTGTCTCTTGTCGCCGATGTCTCAGGTCCTTGTCTGATGCCGATGTTCTGTGAGACCACGTGTTTCCCACCGGAGAATAGCACGGCCCAGCAGTGAGCACCAGGCTGGCTCCACGCAACACTGGGTCTCGCTCTAATTGCCAGACCAGTTCCAATGTTAGGACTGCTTTTCCTTCCTTCTTAAGTTCCGTATTTAAAAATAGTTACAACCCAGTCCCAACTAAAGAACAGTAGAAAACAATTTGGAAAAGAAGAAATGCAAATGTTAAACAGCTATATTTGTAATAAATACATGTAAACAAAAATGAGAATGTGGATTAAGAAAAATAAGAATAAAAAATAAAATCTATCAGTTGGGCAAAGATGAATGAAAATGAAGAGCCCATCAGCCCCAGGGTGGGGAACATGTTCTGTTGTGAAGGCTGAAGGGACTGAAAACTGGGACAAAAGTCTTGAAGGATGCTTTTATAAAAGGTCTCAGCAATTTAAATGTGTTTACATTTTGGTCCAGAAATTATTCTTCTGAGAATTTATCCTAAGAAGATAATCACACATGTCCTCGTGTATGTATCTTGAAGGATGTTTCTTGCGCTTTACAAAAGCAAAAGGATGGAATGTCTCTGCTCTAATCAACGGAATGATGGTAACTATGGACAGAAGAACACTTATGTGTCTCAGGCAGTGACACCATTGATCTATATAGAGGGTCATGTGTAATCTTCAGAGCAAACCCATGAGGTACTTGATATGGGATCCTTGTGGGGACAGAGGAAAGGAGACAGAGAGGATCGGGGGTGGTGGGGCTGCGGTGAACACACGGTGTTTTCTCTGGGGGCCTTGATGACTCACTTTGACTGTGTCCCTTGGCAGCTGGTGTCACCAGACAGGCCTGGGCCTGAGCAGTTCTGCCTCAGAACAGCCTGTGGTGTGTGGTGTGTGGTGTGTGATTGCTTGACTTCTGGATAAGATTTCATAGCCTGAGTCAGGAGATTTTGAAAGTATGTTTATCAAAGTTGGGACAGTGACACTAAGGAAGGACTTAGGGTAGAAGAAGTAACTGGAGAGAGCCTAGGCTGGGCTGCTCTGTTTCCTGGAAATGTTACAGAAAAGGAGTCAAGGCCAGATTTCGATCAGTTCACTGGGAAGTAAAACTCCCAGAGACAGAAGTGAGCCAAGGGGGCGCAACTATCAGCTCACTGGAGATCAGAGAAAAAGGGGACCTTAAAGTCAGGATGGGGGATAAGCCCGAGATCAGCTGCCTCTACCCTCTGCTCCCCTGGCTGATAATCTATCTCAAGGGCACCTTAGAGCTCAGAAAGACAGAAAGAAATTCATGTTTGACATGGGGGTATGGGTGAGCTCTAGAACAAGCTGCCCCAGGTCTCTGTCTGGAGGGCTTTTATTTCTCTTCTCTGGGTGAGAATCTTCGGGGAGGGTTTCAGCAGAATATTCATCAGCTTTCCAGGGGTGTTTTTAATATGCTGATGCATCAAAATGGGCACATGGGGGCTTGGGGATTATCCTCTGGTCAGCTCCACTGTTTTAATTTTTTCTTAGGTCTGTCTGGCTTTAATGGTTTTTCTTTTTTCTTCTTTTGTTATTTTATCCCCTGACTTCTTTTGTCCATGGGTTCATCTGGTACAAATGGCATTAGATGGATCTCTTTTCTTTATTCTCCCCTTACCAGGGTGATTTAAGCAATATATTCTCTGGCTTGGGTGGAGAGGTACAAACAATTGTTCTCAAGTGTCCTTGGTTAGGGGAGATAAGGTCTTGTGACTCACCAGTGGGCTGGAAGTTTTTCAGACCATTTGGCTTTGGTTAATTTTCTTGCCTCAGTTTCCCCATTCTTCTTGCCTAGCACTTTTCCTAGCTTACTATGCTGCCTTGCTATGACTCTGCATGCCATGCAGGTGAACTTTTGCCGTGTTCCAGAATGTTCTGAGATAGCAGGCTACTTGGCTCAGAGCTTAGGAGAACATCAAGGGCCAGTGTACTTTAGCCATCCAGACCACAGTCAAGTTCATCATCCGGCATGTGTTTCAAGGCATCCACTGTGTCAGGATTAGTTAGAGTTTGGAGACAGAATGGAGAACCAGAGTAGGACCCTGGCTCTGTGACTGTGGCACTGTTGTGGGGGAGGTGGGTCACTACAGAAAAGACACAGAGAAATGTAATCATGACCCAGTGCTGTGAGGGAAAGTTCCTGATATCACATAAACAGATATTCAGGAGACCTATGATCCCCTTCCACAGGTCTCCGTCTTCTCTGAAAAGCATAAAAAGGTCTCTGAAAGAGAACAATTATACACAATCATAGAGCAGGGAAGATCTCTTGGAAATTAAAAATATCATCATAAAAATGAATAATCAGTAGGTGACCTAAAAGATTCAAATTGTACACCTACTGAGTCATACAAATGGAAAAATGTGTGTGAACCAGAGAAAAGACCTATTAGTCTGCCAATCATGAGATTCCAAGAAGTTAATAATGACAGTTTAAAAATAGTATGAAAAAAATAAAAATGAATTTATGATGAGGAGGAAATGATTTTAAAATTTTCTAAGAATAATTCTCAAAGTTTGCAGGTAAAAATTTACATTTTGAACAGCTTAATCAGATTCTCTCTACAGCAGATAAAAACAGATCCACACGGGGTCACATTGTGGTGTAAGTTCAGAAAGAGGGTGGGAGAGACCATGAAAACTTCAAGAGGCAGCAAATATGGGCCTGGAGATTAGAAGGCGTTGTTGCAATGCCTTCCGATTTCTGAAGAAAAAATGTTTCCAACAAAGAGTTCTGTATCAAGTCAAAATGTGAATAAGGGCTAGGATAGCCTACAGTTTCTGCATGTATTTAGAGTTTTCATAGTTAATTTTTCACATTCCTTCTTTAGAAAATACTGTGTACCAGATGAAGTGTGGAAAATGAGGAAGTAAACCAAACAATGGGAACATGTGGGATCCAGGTGACAGGGGAGCCAGAACAGGAGAGGCCAGGGCTGCCTGAGACGAGGTAAAGAACATCCAGGGTATCCACCTGCTCCAGGTGTGCAGGGACCCAGGCCACCTGTGGCAGGACTGAGGGCTGTGGACAAATGTCTGCAGAGATGCAAGTGGTTGGAAATCTGATGTGTTCAAATACGTACTCATGAAGATGTAGACTCTGGGGAGAGCAGTGGAATGAACGTCTGAAACATGACAGAACGATGCCGTGTCTGACATTGGACCAGATGCAATGACCAACCATCCCTTACCCTATTGCTGACCAGTTAATGGAGACCTTTACCCTAAGTCCCATTCCCCTATGCAGGCCATCCCCTAGAAGCCACTGGGGAGCCAGGTCTCAGAGTTACAACTCACCTGGCTTTGGTACTGCTTCCTTAAATAAACGTTTATTTTTTAATTTCTTTTTCTTTTTTTTCATACTCAGCTTGAAGACATTTTTCATTGCTTACAGAGAGAGAGGAAGCAAGAGAGAAAAACATTGATGTGAGAAAGATCAACTGATTTCTTCCATAGGCATATGGATCAGTCAAGAAAAGTAGTACTTTGTTTCAAATAAATGAATCCACAAACCCGAGTGTAAACGGAACCCCATGTTCAAATTTCAGTGATGAACTAAGAACCCAAGTGCCAAATCTATACATAGCAGATTTAAAGCTCTTTAATGGGAGCTTATTCATCCAATCAACAAGTTCACAGAGTGTCAACCATGTCAAAAAATCTGCAGGTGAAGAAGAAGAAACTCACTGGAACTACTTAGTTTTCTCTGTAATGTGACAGCACATTGTAGAAATGTGTAAAATAAAGATACAAAATAAGGGCTAAACAATTCTTCATTTCCCAGTTTTTATCTTCTAGGAAATAAAATCTTCACCTACTTGAAACAAAATATGGGTTTTTCTGTTGGTGAGCAAAATGGAATACATGTACTCTCTTTTTATGGTTTTGATTTTAGAGTGGGGGGTGAGAGAGAGTGAGGTCAGTTTGTTGTTCTACTTACTCATACATTCACTGGTTAGCCTTTGTACCTGCTCTGACCCAGCATAGAATCGCAGCCTCGGACAGCAGAACAATGCTCCAACCGAGCTACTGGCCTGGACCGGGGGTTGTAAATTCAGCTCATGGACTGATTGTCACAAACATGCAGACCACAGCATGGCCCAAGGTGCATTCGGTCCACCGTATTTACAAATGTGAAGCACCCTGTTGAACTACCGCAGAAGGTATTGTGTTATTCATAATTTTATTTTTTTTAGTCATATATTGGTTATGTTCACCACATGCACCCATTCTGGCAGACTTGGAAAATAATGGGCCTTCATCTCCCTCCAAATTCTTTTTCCTTCCCTGCTTGCTTGGGTTCAGAGAGGTCAGAGGGGTGTCCCCATTCAATGAGAGACAGAAACGTGAGTGACACTCACACACAGTAACCACATGGCAGAGACTCTCCTGAAATACCCCCTACATTTCCCCCTCAAATATCCCCTACACATCTCCACTACACTGCCCAGCCTGGTCATGGGGGGCTGCTCAGGACCGGGCAGGCTCAGCAAGTTCCACACAGAGCACTGCCCACCCTCAGCTCTGAGTCCCTCCTGGGCTGACCCTTTCTGGTTCTGCCCTGAGAGTGGATGGGAGGGAGCCCTCACCTGGCTGGTCTGAGCTCCACAGCTCTGTGAAGGGATTCCTCAGGCAGGGCAGCTCCTGACCCCAGTTATAGGGACAGAGTGTCTGGTCCTGACCTCCCCACAAGATGCCACTGTTATGTCATCTCTCATGTCAGGGAAACCATCTGTGTGGGGAGCCTGGGGCATCTCTAACTTACACCAACTTGTCCCATGCAGATCATCCTCAGGTACATCTGCTGACTGGGGACAGTGATGGCCATTACAGAGATGCCCTCAAGAGCAGCAGGCAGGAGGCAGAGAGAGTGTCCCCTGTTCCCTGGGGAGGAGCTGAGTTAGAGTCACATGGCATTGGGGTGCAGGGACATCTGGGCCAGGAGCTCCCTTCACAGTGTCTCCTGCTGGGCCCTTTCCTTCAGCTCCTCCTGGTCTCCAAACTCTGTCCCCAGGTCTTCACACTGGTTGACTTAGCACTTTTTTTAAAATTAAAACAATTATTTTTTCTTTTTCCATCACCATTTATCCCCACACACACTCTCCCACCTCCACCCATCCCTCCCCCATACAATTTACCACACTATTGTCTGTGTCCGTGAGTTAATTCTTTTAAGTTTTCAATTACACTTAACATACTACATTATATTAGTTTCAGCTGTAAAACAGTGATTAAACATATATATAAAGCTTATTAAATAATCTCCCCATTATATCTAGTACCCATCTGACACCATATGAAGTCATAACAGTATTACTTCCTACTTTCCCCGTGCTGTACTGTATACCCTACTCATTAATGTCCAGGGCTGATACAGGACAACCATCATATTTTTGCTCACTTGGGTGGAAATTAATGGGGGGCTAAGGAAGGTGAGTGTAGAAGTGGTGAAGAACACAGCAGGACAATCTCAGAATATCTCCTTGTAAATTTCTAATGAATGACATTAACCAAATGATGAATTTATAATGGGGAGAACTGGCTGTCACCAGCCTGGGAGAGTAACCAAGGTGAATGTCACCACCGTCAGGACAGGTGGGTACAGTGTCCAGTCCTTGTCTTTCCTCTTCCACAGTCCTGGCTCCTTTGGTGACCTCATCCACGCTCACAGATTTAAGTGTCATTTTTATAGCATCATCTCCACATCTGTGTCTCCAGCCCAGACATTTCTCCTCAAGGTCCCCACACTCATCTGTCCAACCTGATACCTCACTGGTGTGTCTAACACACATCTCACCTTGACCTTCTCTCCAGCTGAAAGCCTGAAATGCCCACCCCTCCCCCACACTCACTCCTGCCAGAGTCTTCCCCCTCTCTGCTGATATAACCCCATCTTTCTGCTGACACAGTACAAATGTGGGGTGTCCTCTTTGACTCCTTTCCCACACCCTAGATTGAATACTTAGGAAATGCTGTGAAATCCATCTTCCCAATGCATTCAGTGTCCAGTCCTTTCCCACTGTTTCCACCACTCACAGCCCCGTCAGAACACCCAGCACCTGCAGCCTAGAACCATGGGAGCTTCCTCACACCTTTCCCTCCTGCCTCGCTGGTCCCTTGTCTCCTGATTCTGTTCTCAGCACAGCAGCCAGACTGACCCTGTGTCCCGAGGGCTCTCTGTTGGGGAGGAACTCTCTAAGCCACTAAGGACATTGGCTCATTGGCCATGACCTTCCCGGACTCAGCATCCACAGAATGAGAGCAGTGTCTGCAGTGGATTAAGGACAGTGGACACTGGAACAGTGCCTGCTTTATCAGGTGTTCCTGATAAAATCAGATGTTCTTCATTTTTAAATTGGTCTGCTCTCTGCACCCCACATGGAGACCCCTGAGAACTACAAGAGTGTATCCTGCAAGCTTGGGGTGACTCCTAGGCAACAAAGCCACAATTGGTTAGCATCAGGGGACTAAACTATCAAAGGCAGAAGCTCCACAAGGTGCATTCAAATGTGTGGGGAAAAAACCCCTTAACTGCCCATGAAGCACAGGAGGTCACAAGGAACATCTCTGGGGAGCTAAGGGGTTCCCTTGTCCCATGGCACACAGTCTGTCCCTCCCAGGTTGTCTCCACACCTCATGGTAAGTTGAACTTAAAGTGACTAAGAACAGCTTAACAAACAGGGTGAAGGTACAGAGAGAATAACCACTAGTGGTGACCATACAAGTTGGCATTTTTAATCTAAATCACTTCTGTTTAGTTTATATATATAAATATATAGCCAATTTTAATATAATGTGGGCATGTTCTAATTCTGGTTGCAGAAACAGCAGTCAGGGACCCTTAAAGTTCCAAGGGGAGGCTGCATTGACTGTTTCAGCAGCAGGTCTCATAGAAAGCAGCTCTGTCACGCTGGGAAAGAAAGTTGTCATGAACAAATTCAGGTCAGTCTCAGAAGTGTCACATTCTCCCACAGCCACCACATGCTCAGAATGTCCCACCTGAGAATCCTGAAAACCCAGTTTGTCTCTCAGTCCCAAACCCCCCAATTCCTGCCTTCAGGGTCTCACCATCAAGAGCTGTGAGAGACACATCAGAGCCCTGGGCACTGTCCCTGCCTGGGGAAGACACAATAGCAGAGTTACAGGGTCGGGAGCTCCCTCATAGACTCCAGTCCACAGTCTCCCAAGGGTCCCAGACATCACCTCCCCAACACCGAGACTTACAGGCATCCTGAGCGTATTTCTCCCTGCTCCTGCCTGTGGGAAGAAAACGTTCTGTGAGAAGTCAGGGGGGAAGGCTGGGTCCTGGGACCCTAAAAAATCCACACCTGTGAAGTGCAGGGGGATTTCTGGAACTGTGACTAAACACCCGAGTTAGTAACACAAAATACAAGGACAGTACATGTGTGGGGACTACCTCAGCAGGGACCTTCCCTTCTGACCTGTGAGGTGGGGAATCAGTCCCCATTGCTAGAACCATCAGGTGATAAATGTGTCCCTCACTTTCCCACAGCCTCATCAAAGAGTCAGTGTTGGCAAATAGGCCCCAGGTGCACAAGCACCCACGTGGGGATATGATGCCCATTTAGGAGGCAGAGCACACTTCCACCTGGGCTGACCCTCAGGGGGACAGGAAACTCAGCCCCACCCCTTGCCCACCTGAGCACTTCCTCCTCCACAGCAGAACTCCAGCAGCTGCAGCTCCAAGGAGACCCAGGGCAGCAGTGATGCCCACGATGGTGATGGTGGTCTGAGGAGGGGGTTCTGTGAGGGGAAGGTGAGAGGCCAACCTCAGGCCTGAGTCCTGACCCTGCTCAGGGATGCCCTGAGGAGAGGCTCTGTGCCCACACCCCTTCCTCACCCCATCTCAGGGTCAGGGGCTCAGGCAGCCCCTGGTGCTGCACATGGCACGTGTATCTCTGCTCCTCTCCAGGGGGCACGACCACAGCTGCCCACTTCTGGAAGGTCCCGTCCCCTGCAGGCCTGGTCTCCACCAGCTCCATGTCCTGGGTCAGGTCCTCCCCTTCATGCTGCCAGGTCAGGGTGATGTCCGCAGGGTAGAAGCCCAGGGCCCAGCACCTCAGGGTGACCTCATGGTCAGAGATGGGGTGGTGGGTCACATGTGTCTTTGGAGGGTCTGAGGGGAGGGTGAGAAAATTCAGGAACTTTGCATGGTCATGGGACACTCCAGCAGTGCTTGTGTGACCACCCTGAGAGTGGACAGGACAGCAGGTTGGGGGAAAGAAGCTCACCACCCAGAAAGCAGCCTGCACAGAGGCATCTGAGATAATGTATTTCTGGAAAGTTCCATAATCAGGGTAAGAACGTAGGGTAGGAGTGTCCAGGTCTCTAAGGGAGACACAGACTCAGGTGGAGACTGAATGACTCAGAAAGGCTAGAGTCAGGCCTCCAGAGAGGGTCTCAGTGGAGAACCAGGGAGAGTGTCCTGGTGCACCAGGTGCTACAGGGTATGAGGGAACCGCTGTGGGGTGTTTCAGGGAGAGGCTGGGTCCCTTACTGTCCTTTAAGGAAAGGTGGACCCGCGGGTGGGTCAGAGAACAAGGAAACCTGGGGGACTCTTCCCTCTCCCAAGTGTCAGGGAGATCTGTCACTGCCCCATTTCTCTCCTCTCCTTGTAGGAAGCCGTCCCAGCCCACAGATCCCCGCCTAGGTGAGGCCTGCACGGTGGTACCTGCTCGGAGTAGGGTCTCCTTCCCCTTCTTCAGGTACAGGTGGAGCCAGTACAGGCACTCGCCCTCCAGGAAGGCCCTCCGGTCCTCTGCATCAGGGAACTGCACCAACTCACGCCAGGTGACCTGAGCCGCTGTGTCCGCTGCGGTCCAGGAGCTCAGGTCCTTGTTCAGGGCGAGGTATTCGGTGCCGTCGTAGAAGAGCCGACTGTACCCGCCGAGAAAACCCCCGTCCGACCCCACGACGCAGCCAGTCATTTCCTGGTAGGTGTGGGACACTGACCCCGCCCCGAGGTCAGCCTCGGTGTGCTGGCCCCTACCCTGCTCACACCAGGGCAGACCCGACCCGCACTGATTAAACCTTAACCGAAATTCAAACCGGTCAGAGCTCCCAGGGGCTCCTCCCGACTTGGGGGCCGGGCGGGTCCGCAGCCTTGGGGTTGGGCTGGGACCTGGAGACTCGGGTTGACCCGGGCCCCTGTGTTATGATGCGGATCGCGAGCGTGGCTCAACGTCCTCGCTCTGGTTGTAGTGGGCGCGCAGGTTGTTAAGGTTCCCTTCGTTAGTCTGTGCCTCGCACTGGCAAAAACGTGTCTCCTGGTTCCAATACCCCGGCATCTCCTTCTCCACCCACGGCTGCTCCATCCACGGCACCCGCGGCTCCAGCCTGGGGTTCCGGACGTCGCTGTCGAACCGCAGGATCTCCGTGTCGTCCATGTATACGACGCCGATGTATCGGGACTTCCCGCGGCCCGGTCCGGACATGAAGGTGCTCAAATATCTCAGGGTGTGAGGGCCTGGGGACAGGCAGGACGGGAGTCCTGGGTCAGACGTTGGGCGGGTAGGGGCAGGGGCAGGGGTCCGGAGGAAGACGGAAAAGGGGGCGGTGGTTGAGAAGAATGCGCGGGAACCGGAAGGGCGTGGCCGAGGCGGGACTGGGTTCTGGGGTCTGGGCTCCGGGGCGCTGCAGACATCTGCGGTGCTGGGGTTCTGCGCCCTCGCTTGGTCCCCTAGCTCCTGCCCCGCAAAGGCCGTTCCTTGCCGACCCCGCACTCACCGGCCCAGGTCTCGGTCAGCGCCAGGGCCCCCGAGAGCAGCAGGAGCAGCGCTCGGAGCCCCATAATCGAGACCCTGAGAATCTGGGGAGAATGGGTTCCGGTTCCACGTGGGCTGATACCCGGAACCACAGTGACGCTGATTGGCTTCAGTGGAATTCTACACCCAATGGGAGTGAGAACCGGGGCACCCAATGGGAGGGAGAACCGGGGCACCCAATGGGAGTGAGAACCGGGGTACCCAATGGGAGGGAGAACAGGGGCACCCAATGGGAGTGAGAACCGGGGTAGCCTCGTAAGTATCCAGGCAGAAGGACACGAGAGAGGGAGAAGGGAAACCTCTAGGGAGAAGGGGACTCCCCCATCACTGAGAGTCCTCACTCCAAATATGGCCCTGGGCTGGGACCTGGGAGCCCAGTCTGGGGACCTGGGACTCTGCCTCGAGCCCTCCTCCTGCACGGAGAACTCTCTGTCCTTCTGTCTCCCTGAGTCCGTGCCCACGGGCTGTTTTATTCAGTGACTCTCAAACATTTTGGATTTAGAACATCTATCTATACAGTCTTACAAATTAGGGAGGAGCCCCCAAATAATTTTCTTTGTGTGTGTTACATCTATCAATATTTACCATGCAAGGAATAAAACAGTTTGAAGATTTTAAAAATTCATTTAAGCTAATATTAATAACCTATGACATGTTAAGAGAAATAAAATTTTTATTAAAAATAATTATTTCGCAAATTAACAACGCAGCAAGAAGAGTGGATCTGCTCATCTTTTACATTTTTTTAAAGATTTATTTATTTATTTTTGGAGAGGGAAGAGAGAGAGAGAGAGAGAGGGAGAGAAACATCAATGTGTGGTTGCTGGGGGCCATGGCCCACAACCCAAGCATGTGCCCTGGCTGGGAATCGAACCTGTGATGCTTTGGTTCACAGCCCCCGCTCAATCCACTGAGCCACGCCAGCCAGGGCTTCATCTTTTACATTTTTGCAAGTCTCAGTTCTTGTCTGTATCATTAGAAGTCCACTGGATTTTCATATTTGCTTCTCCATGTAAGTTATTTTGTTGTGCTATATGAAAATATATACAACCTCACACCAATATGTAGGAAGAGCATTCTTAAAACCGTGTTAGATAAGTGTGGATATTCATCTTTGATCATACACTAAAGCTGCATAAGTGGTAGTTTCTGAAATGCTCTTTGCAAAGTGGAACCTGAAACTACACCATTGAGTGTTTCCTATTCTGTTAAATTACTTGAGTGGCTCTTGTACTGATGTAGGATTATTTGAAAGTGATGTATTGTTTCTCTAAGTGACAGAGATCTCCCAGTGTTGATGCATTTAATGACACATCAAAAATCACATTTGTTAATGTTACCACAGACCCCACTGGAAACGGTTGTCAGCTCTGAGAATTTCTCTGGCTGCCATGGTGAGACACACGTTTGCCAGAATCCTGGTTTTCCTCTGAGAGCTTCCATTCCATCCAGACAACAAGTGCTGTCAGGTGTCAACTGCCCATTGACTCTCCTTGAGGGAGAAGCTCACGTTCATTTGAGAGAGTGTTCACCAGTTCACCACACCTCAGTCATCACAGGTTCTGTGTCTCTAATTCTCTTCAGTGAACTTGCTGTTCTGTGAAGAAGAGGCTGACTCAGCCCTCACAGGTCACTTTCCTGGGCTCATGGTACTTAGGAATGAATGTAGCAGAAGTGTGTTTGTGTACTTTCCACATTGTTGTAGAAGATTTTTTATGTTTTTATTGTCCAGGTTTATTAAGGCTAGTTAAGAAGTAATCCATTTGTATGATGAATTCAAGACATACTTATGTTCTTTTAAATTTTTTTAACTTCAGTTACAGCTAATGGCCAATATTATATTAATTTTTATACAAGTCTGCTGACTTCATTTGTCTGTGAGGGTCTTTGATATATCCTCAAAATACAGCATACTCAAGAAAGATTAGTTAATATGCACTTAACAATTAGAGTGCAGACATCAATGGAAATGTGATGTAATGCCTTAAGGTTGTAAACTATGAAAGATGCTCCTCACTGGAGTTGGTCTTTGTGCACATCACTTTGGGACCCTTGGTGTTATTTTTGTGAGCCTGGTGAGCATAAGCGGGCACACATGTCTTTACTTCAAGAGAAAATATTTGTTGAACACAACATATATCAAATATGTGTAGGCCTCATACATACTCGTAAAATTGTAAGACAGAAGATGTAAACATTGGAATTCCACCTTAGAATTCCTTACATATTGCTCCTTCAATATTTCCTCCAGAATTCAAACAATTCTGTTTCCCTTCACCCTTGGATGCTTCCCCTTTAGATGAAAATATCTGAAATTTTTACAATTGTGGAATGAAACTTTTTCATAGCAAGACCCAAAGGAAAAAACCATGAAGGAAAACATTTCACTTTTCTGTGTCAACCATGCACTCCAGAGGTACAAACTCATGCCCTTAACCAAACTCAAAGACACGTAAAAATTTTGGCAGAGGAAGGTAGTGTGTGTCAGTGTTCTTCTGCCAAAGACCTGGAGAAGCGCCTGGGGCAGACAGTGGGCTGTGTTCAAGGCTGCTGGGAGGGGAAGCACACCCCTGGGGCATGGGCACCTTCGAGGGACTGGGTGACATAGGATGTGCCCCAGATGTGGGCTCTGGACGGCGATCTCAGGGTCCCCTCTAAATTGGCTTCATGAGGACATGGAGGCAAGTCTGTGACTGGCATCTCAGGAAATACCTCAGGACACAGCAGACTGGAGTGAGGGTGAGGGGTGATAGGAAAGACGCTGCCTTCCCTTCTGTTAGCTGGCTTGGGAGCTGCTTGGTTGTGTGTGAGCCACACCGTGCCTCCTTTCTGTCTGTGCTGAGACAACATGCAGTATGGTGTTGGCCTGTCTCCTGTCGTCCTGGTCTCAGGACGCTCTTGTCTGATGCTGATGTTCTGTGAGACCGCGTGTGTCCAACTGTCTCTCTGTTTGGCAAAAATGAAGGAACATGATGAGCATTTCAGCCCGAGGGTGGGGAACACATTCTGTTCTAAAGTTTGAAGGGATTGAAAACCAGGACAAAGTTCCTGAAGGATGCTTTTGTAAAAGGTCTCAGCAATTTAAATGTGGTGACATTTTGACACAGGAATTCCTCCTTTAGGAATTTGTCCTAAGAAGTTAGTCACATATACTTCAAAAATATATATTCAGGAATGTTTCTTGTATTGTGGTTTTTGTAAAAGCAAAAGGATAGAATGTCTCTAAATGCTCTAATCAACAGAATGATGGTAACTATGGACAGAGGATCACTTCATGTGTCTCAGGCAGTGATACCATGGGATCTACTTAGAAGGTCAAGTGTAAATCCATTGTGCACTTAATATGGGATCCTTGTGGGGCACAGAGGAAAGGAGACTCAGAGAGATTCCCGGTGGTGGGGCTGCAGTGAACACAGGGATTTTTCTCTCAGGGCCTTGATGACTCATTTTCACTGGGTCACTTGGCAGCTGTTGGTACTGGATGGGCCTGGGCCTGAGCAGTTCTGCCTCAGGCCAGACTGTGGTGTGTGGTGCGTGGTTTGTGGTGAGTGTTATGTGGATGCTTGACTTCTTCTGGATCAGATTTCACAACCGAGTCCAGGGGATTTTGAAAGTATAGTTATTAAAGCTGGGGACAGTGACACTAAGGAAGGACTTAGGGGAGAAGAAGTCACTGGAGACAGCCTAGACAGGGCTGCTCCGGTCCCTGGGAATCTTACAGGAAAGGAGTGAGTCAAAACCAGGTTTCAATAAACTCACTGGTAAGTAAAACTCCCAGAGACAGAAGTGAGCCAAGGTGGGGCAGCTGTCAGCTCACTGGAGATCAGGGAAAAAGGGGACCTTAAAGTCAGGATGAGGGATAAGTCCGAGATCAGCTGCCTCTACCCTCTGCTCCCCTGGCTGATAATCTCAAGGGCACCTTAGAACTCAGAAAGACAGAAGGAAATTCATGTCTGACATGGGGGTGTGGGTGTGCTCTAGAACAAGCTGCCCCAGGTCTCTGCCTGCAGGGCTTTTATCTCTCTGGGTGAGAATCTAGGGGAGGCCGTCAGCAGAATATTCATCAGCTTTCCAGGGGTGTTTTAAATAAGCTGATGCATCAAAATGGGCACATGGGGGCTTGGGGATTATCCTCTGGTCAGCTCCACTGTTTCATGTTTTTCTTAGGTGTGTATGGCTCTAATATTTCTTTGTTGTTGTTGTTGTTGTTATTTTCTCCCTTGACTTCTTCTGTCCTTGGGTTCATCTGGTACAAATGGCATTAATTGGGCCTCTCTTGTATATTTTCCCCTGATCATGGTGATTTAAGCTATGTATTCTCTGGTTTGAGTGGAGAGGTACAAACCATTTGTTCTCAAGTGTCCTTGGTTAGGGGAGATAAGGTCTTGTGATTCACCGGTGGGCTGTAATTTTTTCAGACCATTTGGCTTTGGTTAATTTTCTTGCCTCAGTTTCCCCATTCTTCTTGCCTAGGACTTTTCCTAGTTTACTATCCTGCCTCACTATGAATCTGCATGCATGCAAGTGAACTGTTGCAATATTCCAGAATGTTCTGTGATAGCAGGCTGCTTGGCTCAGAACTTAGGTGGACATCAAGGGGCTGTGTACCTTAGTCATCCAGACCACAGTCAAGTTCATCACCTAGCATGGGTTTCAAGGCCTCTACTGTGTCAGGATTAGTTAGAGTCTGGAGACAGAATGGAGAACCAGAGTAGGACCCTGGCTCTGTGACTCTGACACTGTCATGGGGGAGATGGGCCATTAGCAGAAATGACACAGAGAAATGTAATCATGACCCAGTGCTGTGAGGGAAAGTTCCTGATATCATGGAAGGAGATAACCAGCAGACCTATGGGTCCCCTTCCACTGGTCTCCGTCTTCTCTGAAAAGCATAAAAAGGTCTCTGAAAGAGAACAATTATACACAATCATAGAGCAGGAAAGATCTCTTGGAAATTAAAAAAATATCATCATAGAAATGAATAATCAGTACATCACCCGAAAGACTCAAATTGTACCCCTACTGAGTCGTATAAATGGAAAAATGTGTGTGAGCTGGTGA